TTTCCACTTTATTTTCGCTTTCTGGCCCACGTGTGACAACGTCCATAGTGCAGCAGTGTGCTCAGGAGAGGCTAAGTTTAGCAAATACAAACACTGGTCCAAGTTGCTCCTCTCTTCTTACATGAAAAAAGGGATGTGCCCATTCAAATCAAGGGGAATTTAGGGTGCGTCTACATTGTAGCAATACTGCAGTTTGACACCACTGATATCAAGACCTCTCACCACTTTAATTCTTTTGTTATTTACTTGCATGCCCGGTTTATAAAGATATAACAGGTGCCTTATTCAAAGAGCTAGGACTGGTACCAAACAGTTCTGATTCGTATTTGATCATTTTTTTATTAGGGGTCACTGTACTATATACACTTCTGAAAAGGTAGCTTGCTTTGCCTTTAAAGCATCAGTTTTAAGGGGTAAAGGTTTCAGGATAGATTTGAACCTATACAAAATCCTTTTTAGATGATTTTGCTTTGTGAAATAAAGGCATGTAATTCCAGTGTATCTGATCTCGCTGTTTATTTAATTTGAAGTGAGCCGCTATAAGGTTAATGTTTTAAGATGGTTTTAGCTATGCGATGTAACGTACTACTTTTATAATGTATCTGACTTTTGTGTTTTATTTGGATTCCTTTTTTTGTAATGGCTTATTATGCTACGCAAATAAATTTACCTAGGGCCGATGCAGACCTGCCTTTTGGGGCGGCAGAGAGCCGCCCCGGGAAGCGGTGGATCGGGGTCACAGCAACCCCACGCCGTGGCCCCAATCCTCCCTTTTGCCGCCCCGAAAAGAGCGATGCCGCGCGCCCTTACACATGGCGTGCGGTGTCAGGATGCCCTCCCGGCGCAGCGTTCTGATGCGCAGTACCGAAAGGGTGCCGAAAAGCTGCGGCACTGGCTCTTAGGGCGACCTTTTGCATCAGGGTGGGGTTGGGGCGTCCAGCGTGCGGCTGCCCCACCCCAACTCTACCCCCAGGTCGGCCCTTTGGGCCGGTCTGCAACGGCCCTTAGTTACTTACTTACTTACTTATTTACACTTTAATTCCATCCTGCCGAATGCTGGGATTTGTAGTTTGGTGAGGCACCAGCACCAGGTGACCAAATATCACAACTGCAAAGGAGGACAAGGCACCACGAAATGTAGGACATTCAAGAAATATGTCGGACATTACCAAATCAGACCTAAAAACACTAATGCAAATATAAACCTGTGCTTCTTTGTCGTGATCAAAATAGAGGACATTTTGAAATTCCTCCTGGACAGGAGGTTGAAATTTTAGGACATGTCACCCTGACCAGCATGCTTTATCAGAGAAGGCTAAAAGACCCTGTAAAACTAACAATCCTGGGATTCCATAACAATGTATATTAATATCCCAAATCCACAAACAGTGATACCATTATAGGGCCAACCAAAATGCACAAAATATTTAATGCCAACTTTCGAAGCTCCACTGTCTTCTTCATCAGGCAAAGAAGAAGCCGGTGGAGCTTCGAAAGCTTGCATTTTGATTGGTTCTAGAAAAGTATCACTGTTTTGTGGATTTGGGATGTTATTGTATTTTACTATATGGCCAGCACAGCTACTCCTGAACATGTTTCCAGGAGTCCATCCTATGCAGCTAGGCTGCATCCGCACTGCAGAAACAATCCAGTTTGACACTATTTAATAAGTGCTGTGTCTCAGTGCTATGGAATTCTGGGACTTGTAGTTTGTTGGGGCACCAGAGCTTTCTGAGAGAGAAAGCTAAATATCTCACAAAACTACATTTCCTTGTTAATCATATACTGCTGTACTGAAAGAAGGAAAATTTAAATGCATAGAGATGCCAATTGTATGAATCAAGACAGAGTGATCAAAATGAATTGGTTTAACCCACAGAAGGGCTGGTAAAATATTACACTTGTAAGATTTAAGTGATAAAAGTTTATACAGACTGGACAAACATGGGAAGTCAAATTGTCAATATGTATATTTGAAAAATTATGTTCTATGACCATTTTTGAATGCTATCATTTTGTATTTCATATGTTGAAAAAAAATAAATTAAAACAAAAAC